AGAACAGGAGACTGAATATTTAGGAAGTTGTATTCTGACTTGCTACTGTGAACCATACAGAATAGAAGAGGATGACTACTGATATGTTAGGTAGAATAATTTATAGTTTTTAATAGCCCTTAAAACTGTAACAAGAGGAACAGTCTAAGAGCAAGAACTACACTATTATATATCCAAGCACAGAATCCCTGGAGCATAGTTGAAAAGGTACCATCGGAGTACTGTATTGCATAACATCAGCCATAAAACTATAGAATTGAAGTAAATTAAACACAGACCACTGTATTCAGAGCTTGAATAGAAAACAGCCTTTTTTTCCAGGACTGCAAATAATGTCTTGCCAAGCATCTTTTTTTTTTTTTTTCTGTTTTCCCATTTCTCTTGTTATAGGGTGATTTAGTTATGTAATTAGAATGAAAATTGAGTTTGTCTCTGTGCTTATAAGTCTTTCATTTGAGGAAATAATAAAAAACTCTTGATTCTCTTATCTTTCACATCTGTCAATTTCAATCTTTAACAAGATGAACCCTCACGTGATTTTACTTTGTGGGAAAAATATAAGGACATCCATAAAAACAATTGTTATTTAGACCATTTCCTTGTGTCACTTAAACATGAATTTCAATTTAATTGAAGCATCAGGAGCATCAAAAGCTTTTAGATTAAAGTTTTATTAAATTTCTTCAACTGTTTATAATTTTTTAGAAGTTTAGTCTGCTTAATCTCAACTTCAGGAAAGTAAAAATTAGTTCTAAATTAAATCTCATTTTAAAACCACAAGTTTTTTTTCAAATGTCTGTTCATTAGGAAATTTGCTGCAATAAATGTAAGTTTCTTTCCACTGTGACTTCCAGCCTGTAGCTATTTCTGCATCACACACATTTCAACAGCAAATTGGAAGTCCCTTTGAATAAGGATTTTTGCAAAAAGTTTTCACTGTCTCTCCTCATCTGTGAACACCAGACTTGGCAGATATATGGCTTTTAGAGCACCTGATTAAATCACAAAGGATACTCTGAAATAACTACTCAAATTTACTAAAGCATCCCTAAATTGTATTTTAGAGCCTGGACACACTGATTCTTATCCTCAGCAGCTTCAGTCAAAGGTGTGTGAATTAACACAGATGTATGTATCTTACACATCTGGAGAGTAAACAATAATATTATTGAATTGACATCAACAAGAAACCTATCAAAAATATACTTTTCAGTAAGGCTAGCCTGTATTTTTCTTTTGCCCTCCTATCTTTCTTTGCAATGGGGTTGATATGTTAGAGGCATACCTTTTCCTGTTCTAGTTAGAAGTTGTTAAAATTATTTGCCTGAGAAAACTCTGGTGCCAGAGCTTTTCAGTGAAATATTTTAGATTAAAAAAAAAAAAATGAAAAAATATACATGTATTTCCCTATATCAAGATGTATTTCTCATACACAGTTGTACTGTTTTAGCTAAGACATGAAAAGTAACCAGTATGCAATAGCTTATGTCGTTGTCAGCATTTTAACATGTAGGAGAAATACACTTCTGAAGCACTATTGAAATAGAAGGAAACTGGTTATAAAAATGGACAGACTGTGTGACTGAAAAATATGCAAATAAAAAACTTGTGATGATGTTCCAACAACAGAGCTATATGAGAAAGAGATAGTGGGATTAACACTCCCACATACTTCAAAACTGATTATTTGGATATAGCCTTCTTTGGTCACTGAGGACCTATGATTTGCATTAATCCCTAGTTAAAGAGTACTGTGTTGAAACAATTATATTAGTAAGCTAGAAACCTTACACTGTTTATAACTGTTATGCAAATTTTCATTTCTGGTACATATTCTTGGGTTACTATCCAGAAAATGCTATTTTCCTTTTAGGACATGACACAGAAACAACACAAGAAGAACAAAGAGCAGTAGAGAACCTGCCCAACCTTTTTTGGAGTCAACTTCCTCTCCCTTCTCTATCTAAACTAGATTCTTCCTCCTTTTCACTTCTGTTTCCTTTTAAAGAAGGCTGGAATTGTTCTGGGTTGTGCTTTCTTTTCAGAAACATCAAAATTCAGATGGAAATCAATGTTCCATCATTTGTTCCCCAAAAGCTCATTTTAATTTTGGTTTGAGTCTTTCAGATCGTCCATGAAACTCCAGTTTCAGCTAGGATTTACTTTCCCCTTCATCTGCAAAGGAGTATGGTTTACAAGAGATTTCTTTCACAGTTGGAGAAACACTTCGAATGGCTTCAAACAACAGCAGCTACAAGATCACAGAATTGTAGAATAATTCAGGTTGGAAGTGACTGCTGCATGTCTCTAATCCAACCAACCTCTCTCTCAAAGTGGTATCAACTATGAGATCAGACCAGGTTACTCATTACTTTATCAAGTCATGCACTGGAAATCTCCAAAGATGGAGATGGCAAAACCTCTCTGGGCAACCTGTGATGGACAGCCTTCAGGTTGAAAAAGTTTCCCTCATAAACAGTCTGAAACCTATTCCAATTCAAGTCTGTTGTCTCTCACCCTCTTGTCATGAAGCACTGTAAGGAGCCTGTCCTCGATAACCTCCTCATAGACACTATCAGGCTGTTGTTAGATGTCCCTGAAGCCACCAAAGAAGTATTTTTTTTTTCCCCAGGCTGAACAAGGGCAGTACCCTCAGTCACTCTTCACAGTGCAAATAATACAGCTTCCTGATCACACTGGTGACCCTCTGTCAAACTCACTCCAATTTACAGGTGTCTTACTTTTACTGAGGACCCCAAACTGGATGCAGTATTCTAGATAACAGGAATCTTTCTCCTGGGAAAAAATAAAGGACTGTTTTTATGTTGTTAATATATGCGTATAGTCATGTATGCATAAGTTTTGTGATCAAACCCCTAAAATGTGGTTGCGCATTAAGGCCTGGCTTTAGGTATCCCTTGTACACTTTAACATTAGCCTCCAGTATTTATTTTTATATGGGAAACCGTAACCAAAATGTTAAGATGTTCATAACAATCCTCGTAATGATGCGATAAACTTCTAACCAAGACAAAAGATAGGCACAAGACCTCAGACATTACTACTTATGCACTTATAGGAGCCCTTCTTGAACCTGGTGAGGGATGTAAAACACAACAATTCAAGGTGGCCTTTGGCTTTCCCAGCTGTCTCTGCATGCTTGGACATTGACTCTATACAGAGGGCTTGTGGAGGATCCATCCATGGAGATAATCAAAACCCATCAGGACGTGGTCCTGGGAAAGTGCTCCAGGTGGCTCTGCTTGAGCAGGGGGTTGGACCAGATGACCTCCAGAGGTTCCTGTCATCCTCAGTCAATCTGTGCCTCTGTCTCCACTTCAGAATACATAACAAAAACCCCATCCTCTAAGAACAATGAGGTAGGAGATAAAATATTTAATTTTTGATGTTCTAAACTACCATGTAACTTGTATAATTTAGTAGTGATAAAATAGTTTATGCCCCGGGGGATATTCCACTGAGAATTTCCACACCTTATGACTAAATCTTGCAAAATACCATCATCAAACTTGCCATGAAATTCTGCCTGTTTAAATTAAGGGCCATATGTTAACATGGTGCATTGTAATGGTGATTTCTGCAAGTCATTACTGTTAACATTTCTGAGATTTAATGCATTTACATCAGTAAACTGAGGCTGCTGTCTATTACACTTGTTAAATACTATATGTTAGTGCAAACTTGACACACAGTCTCAAAAACAGAACCCAAAGGTCAGTGAAAAGTCTCCTGCAATGTGCAGAGACCAGCAGTAGCAAACTCCTAATTTCTGAAACATCAATACAAAAAACTGCTTTCTGTTTTTAAATTATTCTACAAATCCCATTTAAGTGAGCAATAAGGGCAGTATAATAAATTCTTTCTAGCTTGGTAAATCATACCATAATTTGTGCACACACTAAATGCTGACCAAATTCATTAAAAGCAATAAACACAAATTGCTTGGGGTTTCTATTCACTATTAACAGGCTTTAAATAAATGCCTACGAGATTTAGGAACAAAAGTTGGTTTTGAAACTTCCCTCCAAGGCTTTAATAAACTTAATGAGAAGGGGAAACTCTAAAAACCTCTAGAAACACAAGTATTTTTCACTTGTGAATGCTGAAACACTGAAAACATACACAGTTCTGCTACTGCAAATGCTTTTTAGTCATAACTAACTAGTCCTCTTTATTTCCAATGAACATAATATTCACACTACATTTATTATTTACCTCTGCAGCCCACATCCCTCATCACAGACATTCAGCCTTCAGATTCACAATTTTCTGCTGTGTTGATGCCAGTTCTCCTGCCTTTAACCTGCTGGCAGTTCTGTATCCCCTCTCACACAGGAGGTCAGGATGAAATGAGAGCTGTAACCCAACATCACTCCATAAAACAACCTAACTCCTTCACTGGACCACACAGAGCTTTTCCTGAGAGACTAAAATCCACTGATCCATGCAAATGTTCAGTGCAGTCCACCTAAATTAATGAGCGAATGCCTATTTCTGTCATTCTACGTACTGCTACAGAACATAAGGAATTACAACATACATATTATGCTGGGGTTGAAAAGAAAGCAGTATTTTAGAATTACAGATTTTATTATTTTAAAATCTCTGTTCATTAAGTTATGTATGTGCAAACAACCAGGGAAGAAACAAGCACTCGTATCAACCCGTTCTTTTTTCCTCGTTTTTTTAAGTGAATGAATTGCTATAACACTGTTCTTTCATTTATACGAGAATCAACTGCCAGCAACCTTCCCCTTCCCTTAGAAGAAACTAATAGCAAATTTAGGTTATAAGGAAAGGACTTCTATTTCAAAGAGGTGGTTGGTGAGCAGTAAAGCAGAAATGCAGGTCTTGATTCATTGATGTATTCACATTTCCAACAAATACCTATTTGATAAGGCCATTTCCTCACAGTCAGACACAGCACAGAAAAATTTCCCCTATGAGTCACTGATTTATATTAGTATTAATTATTTTACCTGTAATAAACACGCAATGTCTGGATTTCTTCTTCTAATTTTTTGCACTGTTGGAGAGCAGCCTCTTTTTCTTGTTGCAAGGCTATCAAGTCTGCCTGCAAAACAGTAAACAAATGATAAACAATTTATTCAGAATAACCCTATTGCTTTAAAAACATAACAATCATTCATTTTAGTCATGCTTTATTATAAATACATATATAAATTTATACTGTTATGTAATACCACTTAATTCTTTAAAAAAAAAAAATCTTTCTTGTACTAGCATTGAAATTTTGGTGGGTGTTTGTTTTGTTTTGTTTTGTTTTTTTCCCCCCAGCACGATGATGTTTTGAATGGTTTCCCTCATGTATATGGTAAACTTTTTGGATGGCTAAGGTTAGACCTCTTCAGTTCAGCCAAGTGTTTCTCAGCAAACATATTTCATATTGATATAATACTCCTACAGTGCAAAACTGCTGACCAACATACAGATGGTGAAGCAAGGCACTCAGCCACAAGCTACTGAGGCACAACTCTGGGTCTGCACATGGTTCCCTGGCTGTGAAGCCTGGGTCCCGTGCTGGGAACCACCAGCTGATGTTACCAGCAGGAGAGCTGCTGGATAACCCACAACTTGAGTGGTGGCAGTTAACGAGGCAGCGGGGGCTGCTGGGACTGGCTCCACCAGCTCGCTCTAGGATCTGGGTCCATTCTCACCCAGGATCTGGTTTGTAGTGGGGTGAGGGAATCTCTGAAACACCACTGTCGTCTCCCACCTGTGAACCCTCCCGGATGTTCCTCCTCCCGTTGTTTATTCACACCCCTCTGCAAAGGGCTTGTGACTCACTGCCATTATGGAAATTGCAGCATGTGGCTTGTAAGGTCAGGAAGGTAGCCAGCCCCGATACGGCCTTACGGTTAAAGAGGAGGTAGGAGAAATAAGTATTCATGTACATTTAATGTGGCTCTATAGTTTAATCAGCATTAATTTTAAAATGTCCAGTTTCAATAGCACTGCAGAACTTTCTTGAGGGCCCAGTTACCACATAAATTATCTTAAAATCAGCAGTTGATTAATTGTTGTAAGAACTAATAAGACCGGGCTTGCACAGCAATTCTTTGACGCGAGCCTGAGCATTGGGCTGCTTTCCAAGGTTTTTAATTCACAGTGTAAGTTATTAATTGTACAAATTGTAGAGCCACAAACCAAGAGGCAGATGTGTGAGAAATGCTGACTGTGGCTTCTGCCAACTCTTCAGGACAGCATTGCGGAAAAGTTTCTTGGTAAATTAAAGACCTGTTACATGAGCTATGAACACATGAAGGGAAATGAAGACAGAGTTCAGCCTCTAGCTCTGCCAAGCTCACTGCATAATCATGAACAACTCTGTCTGTATACCTCAAAATCTCTCTCCTAAAACAGGGCTCCCACTTGCTTCTGTTTCCTGTTTGTCTATCAAGACTGTAAGTCTTCAAGGCAGGTGTTTTACTGTTTACTGTCAACTCCCAGTCATCTATGGGCAATTTATTCTGCTGGTTGATTAATCATGTCCTGGATACATGGCTGACTCCTGGCAAATTTTATTAAACACCACATTGCACAAATGCACCTACACAATCAGTCTCTGCACTGTGCTGCTCAGTGTATCATGTTGCACCCAGGGTTTTGCATTGCACAGGTACAGGACTCGCTGCTGCAATTGCTCCTGTAAGAGACATTCATAAAATTTTAACAGGAAGTTCCCTGGAGAATAAAACCAAACTTTCTTACTATATGGAGAGTTCCTTCGCCTTTAAAAGCAGAAAGTGTTAATGTTTAACCTCTGAGTGATGGTGGTTTAGAGCTTCTGATACTGAAAACAATATACTGGATGCTGGCAAGCCCTAACTCCTGTCAGCAAGAGGTTAAAATCCTCGGCAGGTGAGCCTCTTGCCCAGTGCTCCTTGTTGCCTTGCAAGCAGAACTCTCAGAACACAAGGATGTTAGCCAAACCAAGCTATTTTCTGTAATTATACTGTTCTGTAGGTGAAACAGCATTCTTAAAAACTGGAAAACACGCTTGAATCAAAGTAGGTGGTTTGTTCTAGAGGCCAATAATTAACATCCTTGCCAATTTTCAGTGTACTGTGAAGTGTGATTGAAATGGTAGACTGGAAGGAAATGTTTGCAGCTGACACACCTACTCACGGAGAGATTAACGGCTAGTCTCTTTGGAGAACTATCATAAAAAATACACCTAATGTTCCACTTGCTTTTCAGGACAAAAGTCAGAAGGCACTAGAGTCTGAAGACTCTTATTTATGTCAGGTTTTCACAAAGAAAACTGCACTGAATTGATTTGGTTTGCATTTTACTTACACCAGTAAAACTAATGGCAGAATTGAGTGCTCTGGATTAAAAAAAAAAAACAACAAACAACAAAACCCCCCCAAAAACCCCAAACCACCTGACAAACTACAAAAACTGAGGGGAAGAAAAGTAGGCATTTGCTAACCTCCTCAGTAGCATGTGGTGGGGTTGGTACTAGGGAGCTGCATGAGGCCAACAAAAATTCCAGCATAAGTTTTTGTACACAGCATGCAGCCATGTGACAAAATGACCCATCACTCACAGGCCTGAAGAATGGTAAACACAAATAAATGACTCAAATATCCTCCCAAAAGAGAGATGTCTTCCTTCACTAGAAAAGGGAAAGCAAAACCGTGCCCATCACAGAGTTAAATTGCTAACTAAAATAATGGTGCCTGCAGTACTATAAAACATTTTGAAGACTCCTATAACGTATATTAAAATCCATCCATAGTACAAAAATCCTGCATAAGTTCACCTCTAGTAATAAAACAATAGCTGCTTGGGAACTTTTTAACAAAATATTACTCCTTTGGAAAATGTCAGGCTGTGGAAATCAGAACTCTTCACAGAAAGGGATCCGTTTTGCTTGAATATTTTTAGAAAGTAGGGTAAAGGAGGAGCAAGAAGAATCAAAAATCACACTCAGATTCCTCTGGTGGAGGCTTTCCCTAAAAGGGTGTATTTAGAGGTGAGGTCGGTCATCACTTCAGTATAGGGGCCATCTTTAGTGAAGTTCCTCATTCCTGGAATATGGTTGCTATCTCACAATTTCGTTTTCCCACAATCTCCTACACTTTCATACTTGGTTTAACGTGGATAGATTCTTCCCCCTTCTCTGTCCCCCACCCCACCTTCCTGCAAAAGAGAGGTCTTGTTTCTACACTTCTCCTGTTCTGCATTTTAGCAGTTCCTTGTTGAAAATTTAATTTTTCCAATTAAATCTACAAGCTAATTGCTACATACCAAGCTTAAAATAGCCAGATCTTGACTAAAAAAATCTCCTTACTGATCCTTTTGCTGTTGTGTTTGTTTCAAAGTATTTAAATGATCAATGCTATGTGTTTTATTAAAGCAAGGGCTGGAAAAATACAAGGCTTAAGCAAAGGAAAAGAGAGGGTAAAACTATTTTTTATCTTTTTCTAATTCCTCTAGGGTAAACATGAGCACCCTCAAGAAATCAAAATCGAAAGCGGTAAGAACACAGAGCACCCTATGCTGTCAGGTTCCCTTTGGGTGACAGATGGCTTTTATAATGCTTTTCAACATCCAACAGAAGGAAAAAAAAACATTAAATGAATTTGAGTAACAAAGCTTCATAGCTTTATTGTTTTACTGATATTTTTCTCATGCACTTATACAGAACATATGTATTTCCACTTATATGTATTTACAGAGATAATATATTTTTCTTTCCTTATATATACGCTAAACAACCAACCTTCTCTGTTACCTCTCAGTAAGCAAGTTCTCCATTCTCCCAATCAATTCAAACCCACCTCTCATCAATACTCTGCTACCAGTATGTCCTAACTCCGGTGGAAACATCTCACATTCTTGCATCCCTTTTGCTTACAGTCCCTTTTTGATATCTGTCTGTTCTCCAGCCTGTGGGTACTACCCAGCTACCAGTGGAAACTTTTATTCATCCTAAAATGATGATATCTTATAGTTGGTGACGCTGAATTCCACCCCACTGTTTTTATTTTTTCAGTACTTGAAGCCATTCCAATCTTTCTACAAGATAGTTTGAACTTAGTTTGTATTAATAATATCTCCATTTTGTATTAATAACATCTTCCCAGCCCTGCCTCATCAAGCAATTTCATCGGTACGCTACTGCTCTTCATGCCAAAGGTTTTCAATGACAGCAATACAGAAAACTGTTTCAGCATCAACTGGTGAGAAATTGGAGAGAAATTCCAGTAGTGAAATCCTTGGACCTTAACGTTTCTCCTTTCAAAGCTGTTTGCTGTTACCTTCCTGCTAACTAGTTCCTTATTGCCTCTGACTAATCCCTCATCTCCTTCATGGGTACATGACGTTTTGCAGACAGACATGAGCTCAACGTGCCCATCCTTCCAAACAAGAGATGCTAGGTGAACCCAGTTAACAGCAAGCAGCATTTCCCACATTAAGCTTGTGCCTGCTTGTAAAATAACAACATACACATTCTCCACTGTAATTAATAATTTTCCATATGGCACCACATAAAAGCTTATGTGTCACCTTATATTTAACAAGTTACTCTGTCTAAATAACCAGTTACCATACCAAAGAAGAACTTTTGCATGATCTTACTTGGGTGAAAGTTGTATTTCAATCCACTGTTAATGGATCCATGCTTTAAAAACATTTTCCTTCCAAATTTACTCTGAAACCTCACAATAAAGGCCAACTGGTTTAGAATTCTCAGAGTTATAATTTTTCTCCTTCCAAATATAGATGCTGCCTCTGCTAATTCCCTGCCATATTACACCCTACTCAGCCTCATAGGATTTATTAAAGAACTTTACTATCATTACTGAAACGTCAGGTATGAGCGCTTTCAGAACTGGGGGTGAGATTCATCTATTATCTCCATCTGAGCACAGGAATCTACTGAACAGCTATGATGAACTCCATTTCCATACACTGACTTTTTTTTACCTCTATTGTCATAGTTGACATCACTGTTGCCCAGTGCTTAGGGATCACACACTTTTGGACCTAATCCGGATTATCCTTGATCTCCATGCCATTCTCAGAGCGGTGGCACATTTC